ATGTACCTTTAAGTCTGTAAAAGTTTATATATGTATCCTGCGTAATTACTCTTCTACCAAGTCAGAATAGCAGAAGCCAACCAATAGACTATTCTCAGCTCTGGCACGAGTGTTCTCTTTTTAGGGAACCTATATGCTTAGCAATGTCAGCAAAGACATTTTCCCATGGTGGTGGCTTGATGCCGCATTTGTAAATCAAATATCACATGGAAAATTTGATTGCACTTTATTTTTAGCTACTGCTAAATATGTTTAGAGGGACTGGGTTTGTGGACTCGTAGCACTCCATCTGTAGATCCATTGTTTTATGAACTGTGGCCAATCTCTAGTGTTACTTTAATAAATGCCACACAAGTTAAGGGACCTATCATTAAAACTGACCCATTACATGAATCGATATGGCACATCAGTAGTACCAAATCACATTTGTATTGTATTATTTTAGAATGAAAAAGAACTATTGTTGCCATGAATTAAAAAAAATATATGGCCTAAGATGCCTCAGCTAAGGTCATGGGGTCTCTAGTGCATTATGGGTGCTTAAAGTGGATCTAAAGGTTGAAGTTTTTTCCCCTTCCCTACCGTCCTGTAGCAGAACTACTGCTACAGGGTGGCAGGGCTGCGCAAAATTACGTATATAAATGTGATTTTGCATTTCCAGGTAGGGGGCGCGCGCACTGCCCTACCCTTGCTGCCATTGGCAGCTACAGATGTTAATCACCGTGTCCTGGCCAGAGATTCCTTACTGGCACCCGGCGATCGCTGTGTATCACTGACAGGGGAGAGACCTGTGTGTAACAACACAGGTCTCTCTCCTGCCAGCAGTAACATGCTGATGTGTATTTCTCTGCTGTGCAGAGAAATACACAGCAGTATGTTTCCCTAGTAAAACACACACAGTAAAACAGCACACTGTTAACCTTTTGATTACCCCAGATGTTAACCCCTTCCTGCCCTGTGTCATTAGTACAGTGTCAGTGCTTTTTATTAGCACTGATCACTGTATTAGTGTCAGTGGCAGTTAGTCAGTTCCCCCCCAGTGTAAGAATGCCTGTTGCAGTACTGCTATAAGTCGCTGATCGCCACCATTACTAATATAAGAAGAAATAAAAAATTCCAGTATATATACCGCCATTTGTAGATGCTATAATTTTCACATATACCAATTAATTTACATGTATTGGGATTTTTTTTTTTTTAGCAGCAAAGACATGTAGTACAATACATTTTGGCCTAAATTTATGACAAAATTTAAATTTTTACATTTTTTACTGGACATTTTTTTTTTTTTTTTTTAGCGCAAAAAATAAAAACCGAACAGGTGATCAAATACCACCAAAAGAAAGTGGGGAAAAAAAAGGACATAAATTTGATTTATGTACAGCGTTGCATGACTGGCAATTGTCAGTTAAAGTAATGCAGCGCTGTATCACAAAAAATGGCCAGGTCAGGAAGAGGTAAATCCTCTGGAGGGCAAATGGTTAATATGCTCTCTGCATTAAGGTAAAAAACGAACCCCTCCCTTTTACGTACATGAGCCTGATCTCGATCCAGAGAGAGAAGCAGCTCTTTCCCTCCTCATAGTCTCAGAGACAGCATCAGGAGCGACGCTGCTCCTGCTGCTGTCAGTAACAACCAGTGAAGGGGGTGGGAGGGGACAGAGCTGAGCTGCACTCTGTGTGTCAATGGACACCCAGAGCAGGGCTCAGGAGTAAGCCCACAAGAGTGCCACCATAGCAAGCTCCTTACTATGGGGGCACTCGACAGGGGGAGGAACCAGGAGCACATTGCACAGAGCAGGTAAGTATACCATGTTTTTTTATTTTTTAAAGAAATATGGCCACTCCTATGTCTATATATTTGCAAATATAATAGGAAACAAGCAACGTAAATGACTACGTTTTTTGTGTGTGTTTTGCAGATGGAACAGACGCAAATGAAATCCTGGGGCCTGATGCTGATGACATTGCATGTACAGGTACTACTTTTAATGTTTGCTGTTTTCAGTGTGCAGCCCTTTAGAATGTTCATCCACAGTTGGGGTTTCTTTTCTGGGTGTATGATAGTGGATTGTTTCTGATTATTGTGAGTTTCTGGCATCACGATCCCAGCTCAGCCTTTCTGCATTGTGAGACTTCCCTCTCTATTTTACGTTAAAATATTTCTATAGCCATAATTTTACTGTTAATTTGCATAGTAGAGAATGGTCAAAATTCCAGTCAGGGTTTTTCAGTTTTCTGTGTCCGATTTAGGGGGTCTTCCTTCACTTTCTGTCTTTTAGAATCAACAGGAAGTAAGAGGAAATCTTAGATAGTTGTCTCAGAAACAAGTGTCTCCATTGAATAATTTCTCCTATACAGATAACAACTAAACAATTTGAATTACACCTTACTTTCTCTCGCAGTGACCGTAGTCACCAGGACAAACACTGAAGGCAAATCTACCCAGTGGAAACACGGACAGTAATAGAATCAGATAGGGATTTTGAACGCCTTTCCACTCTATCCAAAACAAAAAAAAATTTGACTTCTGATACACTTTAAAGAGTATAAGCCAGAGAAGTTAGACTGTCCCAACCTGCAGCAGGGTAAAAACTGACTCCATGGAAGTGGTTGGGGAGCGCCATTGGAAAGCCCCAAGACTTATTAGATGCCTGTAGCTGGTTCAGACCCCTAGTGCCTACTCAGAACTGAATTTATCAGCTTTGTCTGGACCCACCTCATAGAAAGTGATAAGGCCTATAGAAGGTGATTAGGCCTGATGGTACACTGGAGGGTCTTACGCCGGCCATAAATAAAGCGATTTTCTTTCTTGCAACCATGGATTGCATGAAAGAAAATCACACAATTTCTCCATCAGCACAGTCAGTATTGATGGGGGAATCCCACCTGCAGAGCTGTTGTGTTCTTCAATAAATAAAACATAATAGTTGCTATCAACAATTGCATGTAAAAACCGACAGGCTGGTTGTACCCAAGTTGATCGATTGATCAACTTCGGTACATGCAGTCTGCCAATACGTGGTTTGAATCTTGGTCGGTATCTGCCAAGCCCACCGAGATTGGAATCGTCTATGGCCGCCTTTACATTCATAGGCTTTATGGTGAAATTCTAAATTGTTAGATGCCATGCAAAATAAGAACCTCAATTATAATGTAGCAGCATGGTCTTGCCGAGGCCTAGCTCTAGGAAAAAAAAAAAAAACATACATTTGAAAAGCACAACAGTAAACTTTTTGTGCTTGGAGTGCCACTTTGGATGCAAGCGGTACACTATACAATGAATTGAGTTTAAAAAAATGAAAAGAGCTGTTAGGCGAGTCTATTCATGTGATCTGACAAAGTCATGTGACCAACATCTCCTCCAATCACAGAGTTCTCTCTGCAGTTTGTAGTAATTAATCCTCTAAGTGTTCTAAAATTTGTATGACTTTTCCGAGAGGCATACTGCAGTAAGAAAAGTTGACTAACCTGTAAAAATAAAGCTTACTTTTATATCCATGTTCTTTCAATCCATCAATTAAAGTCTAGACTGAGACATAGAGGTCAAATAAACGTCACTTTGGCTTTACTGGAGAACTTATCAGACTGCCGTTTTCTGCTCCATCAGAGCAGGGAGATGGCATTTTGGGGCCTTGCAAGTGAAGGATGGGAACAGAGCTGGTCTTCTCCACTTTTAGCTATATCCATAATTTTGGGTGCACTGCACATTTTTTTTTAGTGAGTACAACTCTTCTGAGAAGATAATGGTCTCTTCCTGCTAAATTTTGATAATGATCACTTAATTCCAGGCATTTTCATCTTTATGACAAGTAAATGAGAAGAGAGTTTGACTTAAATGACATCATCATTTAAAATATTACAGTAACCTCTGGCTGGAGTGTTTTCAATTAGTCAGGATTCCTGTATGGAACAGCACTTTTCTAGCTTGCATCTATGATTTATTGGCTGGTGTTTCTGGATGGCGGAGAATAAAATTTTGCAATGCAGTCACATGTACAAGTAGTATTCTTTGTTTTACTAAAGCTAGATAATTGTAGTGTTGATTTACTAAAACTGCTGGAAAAATCTGGTGCTGCTCTGCAAAGAAACCAATCAGCTTCCAGGTTTTCTTGTCAAAGCTTACTTGAACAAGCTGAAGTTAGAAGCTGATTGGCTACCATGTACAGCTGCACCAGATTTTGCCAGCTCCAGTTTTAGTAAATCATCCCCTATATTTTTATATTTTGTATATAAGATTTTTATCCTGGGCTGGAGAGATCCAAGGAAGCATGGCCTCTTAACAGTTCCAGCATGCAACCATCTTTCGGAGACCTTATCAGTAGTCTAAAAATATTTAACTTGCTGGTCCCTGCAATAGAATGTCTCTTATACTTATTTTTCTGGCAGCATGTGTCTAGTACAGTGATGGCGAACCCGTGGCACGCGTGCCACAGCCGGCACGCCGAGCCTTATCTGTGGGCACGCCAGGAGAATACCATATTTTTCGCTCCATAAGACGCACTTTTTTCCCCCCAAAAAAAGGGGGGAAAATGTCAGTGCGTCTTATGGAGCGAATATAGAGCGGCCGGTCCGGTATTTCCACCGCCGCCGTGTCAGAATACCGGGCCGGCCGCTCAGCTCTGCAGTGGGACCGTACCTGTCCCTCTATCCAGCGGCGCGCTGTCTTCCCGGCTTCTGTAGTGTGCGTGACAGCCGGGTCCCAAGTGCGCATGCGCAAGAAGCAGTGCTCTTTGTGAATGGTAAGGCGGTACCTGGGACACATGACAGATCCCAGAAGCCGCCGGACCAATCACAAAGCGCAGCGCTTCTCGCGCATGCGCACTGGGCATCCGGCTGTCCGACGAGCGCCCACTCTACAGAAGCCGGGAAGACAGCGCGCGGCTGGATAGAGGAACAGGTAAGATAAAAAAAAAACTCTGCGGAAGTAAGAGCGGGTACCTGTCAAATTCAGGTACCCGCTCCCCCTCCCTCCCCAAAGGTCAGCAGTCATCTGTACTGTCCGCAGTCTCTGGTCATCTCCTGTACTGTCTGCAGTCTCTGGTCATCCCTGTGCTGTCCGCAGTCTCCGGTCATCCCTGTACTGTGTCTGCAGTCTCTGGTCATCCCTGTACTGTCCGCAGTCTCTGGTCATCCCTGTACTGTGTCTGCAGTCTCTGGTCATCCCTGTACTGTCCGCAGTCTCTGGTCATCCCTGTACTGTGTCCGCAGTCTCTGGTCATCCCTGTACTGTCCGCAGTCTCTGGTCATCCCTGTACTGTCCGCAGTCTCTGGTCATCCCTGTACTGTGTCCGCAGTCTCTGGTCATCCCTGTACTATGTCCGCAGTCTCTGGTCATCTCCTGTACTGTGTCCGCAGTCTCTGGTCATCCCTGTACTGTGTCTGCAGTCTCTGGTCATCCCTGTACTGTGTCTGCAGTCTCTGGTCATCCCTGTACTGTCCGCAGTCTCTGGTCATCCCTGTACTGTGTCTGCAGTCTCTGGTCATCCCTGTACTGTGTCTGCAGTCTCTGGTCATCCCTGTACTGTGTCCGCAGTCTCTGGTCATCCCTGTACTGTGTCTGCAGTCTCTGGTCATCCCTGTACTGTGTCTGCAGTCTCTGGTCATCCCTGTACTGTGTCCGCAGTCTCTGGTCATCTCCTGTACTGTGTCTGCAGTCTCTGGTCATCTCCTGTACTGTGTCCGCAGTCTCTGGTCATCTCCTGTACTGTGTCTGCAGTCTCTGGTCATCTCCTGTACTGTGTCCGCAGTCTCTGGTCATCCCTGTACTGTCTGCAGTCTCTGGTCATCCCTGTACTGTTAATTAGTTTGCACTACTGTACGAGTTGTTTTTTCTAAACCAAAAGCTCGATATTCAGGTTTCATTGCAGTGTTGGCACTTTGAAAGAAATAAGTTGGTTTTGGGTTGCAGTTTGGGCACTCGGGCTCAAAAAGGTTCGCCATCACTGGTCTAGTATCTTTTCTTCATTCCAATGCTGCAGCCTCCATCAGAATAGCTTTCAACACTTCCAGGAGCATTGACTGCCTATGTCCCTTTGCATGCTGTGGCACCATCCTTCGACCCTCTTTGTCACTGCTAAGTCCTGTAGCGACATAAGAGTTGAGGAAAGGAATTACAGTACAAGTTGGGGGAGTACATGCACCTGACACCCCCCAAATGCTGAGGATTCTGATGGAAACTGCACCAATGAAACGGAGAGAAGGTGGGAGGCACGGGCTACCAGAGAGATGTGCTTAAGAGCCTTTCAAATGCAGGACACGTCCAATTATATATATATAATTATATATATATATATATGTATATATATATATATGTATATATATATATATATATATATATGTCATTTTAACATATATTTTTACATAGATTTGTAAATGCATTCCAAAAATGTAGATTAGTATTTTTAAAGACATACAGTATATTTGAAATGTATTTTTAAAAATATTTATACTGTCAATTAACAGGGTTGCTTTAAAGTGTACTTTTAAAGCTTTTTTTTTTTTTTCATTTTGGATAAGGGTTATAACTCCTGTAAGTTTTTTCTTGTCATCAGTGTCCCATAGGGGAGATTTTCCTTCACTTCCTGTCCCATAGTCAAAACAGGAAGTCAGAGAAAATCACTTCAAAGTGAGGGAATCCTGGGGTGTCACAAGGGTCACCAGAACTAGTGTTCCCATTGGAACATTTACCCTCTATTACAGTTCTGGCATCAACCCAAAATGTGGAATTGTCTTTTACTTTCACTTTCAATTATAAAGGTAAACAGGACAAATAGAGAGGGCGAATCTCCCTAACAGCAACACAGACAGCAAAAAAAAAAAAAAAAAACTGACAGATGCTCTAATCCCTCTGTACTATATTCAAAAGTAAAATTAATAGTTTTGCCTTTAGTTATACTTTAAGGTAGAAATTCCCAACTATGCCATGTTGTATTGAAACAATGTAAAAGTGCAGAGATAGCTGGTGACATGCGTTCCTCCAATTTTTTATCTAGGTGTCACAGGGGTAGAGGGTGAGAGAAAATCTACCCACTGGAGTCAAGCTAACCATACCCCACTCTGTTTTGGGCAGAGATGGGCTTTAAAGTGTATGTGAATCCAGAATCTATTTTTCAGCATGTTTGGCATCATGCCACACTGAATGCAGTTTTCTCAAGCAAATTGTGTCTTGTGAATCTGCAGCAAAGTTTTTTTACCTGGAGATCCTGCGAGTAACGACACTTTCTGTTGCAGACTGACAATGCTAAGCCCCTTCCTTGCAATTGCCAGCAGTGTTGTCAGCCTTCCCAGTGTGCTCGGCCGTTGGGGTGCTTGTTTGAAAGTCCAAGAATGTGCACAGCGGGCTGACAACGCTGCTGCTAAGTGTGGGGTAGTAGCTTAGTGTTGGAAACCCTTTCGTTAGGTCTACAGAATGGACTGATTATTTCCAGGTTGGGCAACTTCATGTGGAATTCTAGAGTTAAACTACACGTCACACTTTTCTTGTCCCCTGTTGTCCAACTGTCCAGCCTGCAATCCTTTGATTCTTATTGTGTTGCCCTCTTGACCCCTGCAAACAGCAGCCTAGGAGCCTGGGTTCTTATTCAGGCCAGTGAAGGAAAAATATTCTTTATACCGGGTTCTAGTAGATAAATGGGTTGGTTTATTTCTTTTACACTTTCTTACTTATCCAGTGCTGTACATCCTATTCCTCTTTCTATGTTTTGTTTTGTTTTTTCTGAACTTTTATAATGGATCTTCCTGGGAGAAATAACATACGGGGCACAAGTACTTTTTAAGGGGGCTGTGGGAACACAAATGTTGAACACCGATTTGTAAGGGGCTATAATAGCAGTCATTTCTTCCATTCTCATTGAATTGTGCCTCCCGTATGTGACTATCCCCTGAAGTATGTCCTCAGTCTCCAAAAATTCCTTTATCACAGCCTTTCTTCACCTTGTTAACATGGAGGAACCCTTGAAATACATTTCCAGTCAATTCAAGTAACCCTTACTAAAAATGACTGTATCTACAGATCACTGATTATATTGTCAGTGGGAAGAACCACCCTTATAGATAGTCAAAAGTTAATTGTCAGTAGTAACTTTTCTGAGAGGCAGAAATTGCTCATTGATAAAGGAACCCCTACCAACATCTGGAGGAGCCCTGGTTGGGAAGGACTGCTCTAGCATGTTTGCAGTCTCAGAATATCTCCTGAAGCATGTCTTCAGTTTTGACCATTACTTGTACCAGGCCCACAGTCTTTGACCATCTCCTGCAGTCTTTGTCCAGCAATTGTACCATACCCATAGTCTTTGACCATCTTTCCATCTTCTCTTGTCATGTCTGCAGTCTCTGACCAGCAGTTGTACCATGCCCATAGTTTTTGACCATCTTCTTGTCTTCTGTTATCATGTCTGCAATCTCTGACCACCAATTGTACCGTGCCCATAGTTTTTGACCATCTTCTAATTTTCTGTTATAATATCTTCAGTCTCTGACCAGCAGTTGTACCACGCCCATAGACTTTGACCATTATCTCATCTTCTGTTGTCATGTCTGCAATCTCTGACCAGCCATTGTACCATGCACATTGTCTTTGACCAGCTTCTCATATTCTGTTGTCATGTCTGTAGTCTCTGACCAGCAGTTGTACCATGTCCATAGACTTTGGTCATCTCCTGCAGCATGCATGCAGTCTCTGACCAGGATTTGTACTATGCCCATAGTCTTTGACCATCTCCTTGTCATGTCTGCAGGCTCTGACAGTGGGCAGGAATAGCTCAGAAGTGGGATACATCAGAGTCGCAGTTGGTACACAACCGAGATTGGAAGAATTCCCTGGCACACCAAAGAGGAAAACATACTCTACAAAACCTTGTACTACCTGCTTGCACTCCATATTGTCAGTAATATTAGGAGACAAATTACCTTCAAAACTATAGAATATTACATTTCTGTAATCCCTTATTTACTACCTGGAGAATCAGATTTGAGCTGACAAGGAGCATGCCTTCATTGGCTGTAGAAATAGAAGAGAAAATGGAACAAGTGAGATTAAAATGGGGTGTAACTCAGCCAAGCGAAAGGTGAATTTAAAAAGTGCCAAAAAATAAAGTTCTGACATTTTCACACTTCAAGAACTGGAGGAGGGTGGATGATATATTAATAAGCACACAGTATTTAGGGAGATTTCAGAAGTATGTAACCATATAGACAAATAACGCCATCACAAAAATGTAACCTCACAGTTTCAAGCAGCTATGTCACATGGGAGATGATATTACCAATTTATAGGAAAAGAAAGTACTTTACTTGTACAGCCAACTGTGTGGCTATGCTTTTTCACAATGTATCTGGAAGGTCTCATAACAAATAATCCTAATCCTAAATAATTTGCATTATTTTTAAAGTTCATGATGAAGAATGTGATTCGGATGTTGAAAATGAGCAAAACCATGATCCAAATGTAGAAGAGTTCCTTCAGCAGAGTGACACGGCTGTCATCTATCCAGAAGCTCCTGAGGATGACCAGAGGCAAGGCACGCCGGAGGCCAGTGGTCACGATGAAAATGGTAACTATATGAAATAGATGGAGTTCTAGCCTTTCTAATGCATGGAACATGAAAACTGTTAAACAAACTTGGGCCTCTTCTCAGAAACATCTGAAATTATCCTTTACATATTTAAGCGATCAGTTGACAGCTGTGCCAGACAACAATGTACACAATGTGAAGAATCTTCCCAGATGTGTCTGACTGGTTCTCATTTTGTATAAAGCACACAGGGGGCTTTCTGAAAGAAAATTTGTACCTATAAAAATTACTGGGCTGTCATTAGTTACATCATTCTAAAAATGCTAGTTGCCTGGCTTTTTTATGTTTTTGGATAGAGTAGAGAAGAATTCCAATCTCTCTAAAGTTTTTATTGAAGTCTATGTTCCCCAGGGAGATTCACCCTCTCTATTTCTCCTGTTGGCTTTTGTCACTGGGATAAAAAGTGATTGGAAATCCAACATTTGTGTTTTAACCTGAACAAGAGGTGACAGGAAATCTTCCAGTGTGAGAAAATTGTCCAGGTAACAACTGTCTAAAAAGAGAGAGAGAGAGTTCATCTCTCACTTTCTCTTTCGTCTCTAGGACAGAAAGTGAAGGAACATGTCCCAAGTGGGACTGAGTCATCAAAAATAACCAAACAGGGGTTTTAACCCCACCCCCGCTTCCCTGCTCTGTCCATAATTTAAAAATAAAGTTTTGACTCTGCATATACTTCAAAGTGGACCTGAACTCAAAAAGTTTAGATTTGCCATGTTATACTGAACATCTTGTGCTTAAGCAGATTTAAAGTGATACTAAAGCTAAAAACGTGTTCTTACCTTAATGCATTTCTTGTATTAAGATAAAAGATGTTTTCTATTTCTCTGTGCGCCCCCCCACCACCACCACCACCACCTTCCCTGTGTAAAGGGGAAGAGAAGGGAGAATAAATCAAGTGCTGTGTACAGCTGCATCTGTTCTCCCCTCTCTTCCTCTTCATACAACACTTGAGCAGCAGTAGGAGCTATTGGCTCCTGCTGCGGTCAATCAAATGCAGTGAGGAGGAAGTGGTTGGTGGGGCTAAGTCCCGTTGTGTATGTGTCTATGGAGTGCGACTCCATAGACACACAGCTCGGGCACGCGCAGACATTGTGTGCCTCCATAGCAAGCAGCTTGCTTTGGGGACACACGAAGAAGAGGAGGAGCCAAGAACACCATCGGGGGACCCAAGAAGAGGAGGATCAGGGCCGCTCTGTGCAATACCACTGCACAGAACAGATGAGTATATCATGTTTGTTATTTTAATAAAAAAAAAAAAACATTTATAACTTCAGTAACACTTTAACCTTTTGTCTGGGATTCACTCTGAAAAATAGCATTGAACGTTCCGACATGTGAGTGTGCCTAGGCAACGTTTGTATCCATAGCCTCATAGCTGTATATCTGCAGTGTGAGATCTAAAGCACTGTTGCCTTGTTTTAGAGAATGTGGAGTAAGAGTTGGTGATGGTACTACTGGAAAAAAAGTCTAGTCTAGTTGCTGCACTGACCAATGAGCACTTCCCATTACAAGCATTATGATGGATACTCAATCTGGGACTGTGTATTGCAGTATACAGTGTATGGACTGCTGCATCACAAACACGGGGCATCATGCCCACTGTCTAGTCGAGTATGGAGGGGTGGACAGGAAATTTGGTATTAGTTCGCCTGTTCATTTTTCTTGAAACGCAAATGTACCCTTTAATCATCTTATTGGTCCACTTATGGGGTATAACACCTCAAAGGAGGAGGAACGAAGCCTAGTCATCCTTGCATATTAAAGCTTTTTGAAACAACCATTTAGTGGTGCATGGCTGTCCGATGCATTTTGTGGGTTTCATGAACAGAGGAACCCTGCCTAGCCTTGGCATCTGCAGCTGGTAACAAGAATCCTAGAGCAATACCATTTTAGGAGCTAACTGTTCTCTATGCTGGAGGATCTGATATGGGGAAGCAAAGCTTCTTCTCTACCAAGCAGGCCAACCCTACTCAGAGATACAGTACAGGACAAGGCATGGTAAGTCAATAATGGAGAAAGATTGGCTGTAGGGAGACCACAGGTAACACTGGTGAATAGTCCTGTATACCATGCTTGCCTTTTTTTTGGGCACAGCTTCTAGACTTCGGTTACACTTTAAAAAAGTATCATGAGCACAGAAACCTCCTGCTCAAGAACATCAAAATTAAAAGTTATTCTTGCTGATAGCAGTCAGATTTGCCCGTTCATGTCCTTAAAAGAAAACTTTCCAAAGACAAACATGAAGGCTGTCATTGTCCAACTCCATGCACAGCAAAAAAGTTTACCCTGTCATTGGGGGCTCTTCACTCTGCAAGGGTTAGATGCTTGTTAAGTCTAGGGGTACATGAAAAAAGTGTAATATTTACCCTATGCCTTGCTACAGCAGGGTCTCTCAAGTGGTGTGAATAGACCCATAAAGCTTCCTTTCTAAGGCGTTCTTGGCTCTAGTGGCACACCTGCCTCCTTCCTGTACAATGCAGGGTTAATAGCCCTGCATTGTACGTAATGATACTGAAGGACCGCCCATAGACCAGAGCACCCGGACGAAGAGGACAGTGTCTGAGCAGGGGCTGGAGTAAGTTTTACTGCTTTTTAGTGTAGGCCTTAGACATATTGAGTACTTAACCCTTGAAGTTCAAGCGCTCCATTGCAAGGGTAGATTTTGTGTAATTGCCAGATTTGCGTTTGATCCTGTAAATGCCAGCTGCCTGGCTGTCATGCTGATCCTTTTGCATCAATATTTTAAATAATTTGCCCAGAACAAGTATGCAAACTAGGACTTTGACCTTCAGCTTTACTTACACCAACCAGCCATAACTTTGTGACCTCTGGTAGGTTAAGTGAATAACATTGATTGATTATAATCAATACATGGCATCTGAAAGTTGGTGGGATACATTAGGCAGCAAGTAAACATGTTGTCCCTGAAGTTGTGTGTTGAGAGCAGAAAAAATAGGTATTACAGTTTGTTGTGCATGAGGCTGACCCATTTCCACAGCCAGAAGTGCCTATAATAGGCACATGAGAATCAGAACTGGACCACAGAGCAATGGAAGAAATGTGTCTGGTCTGTTAATCATGTTTTCTTTTACATCATTTGGATGGCTTAGGAGCATGTACGTCACTTACTGGGGAAGAGATGGCAAGCCAGCGGAAGCAGTGTAATTTCTTTGGGCAATGTTCAGCTGGGAAACCTTGGGTCATGCCATTCATGTGGATGTTACTTGACACGTACCACCTGCCTAAACATTGATGCTGATCATCTACACCCCCCTCATGGAAACAGTATTACCTGATGGAAATGGCTTCTTTCAACAGGATAATGCGCCCTGCCACTACAAAAATGAGGAACATAACAATGAGTTTGAGGTGTTAACCTGGTATCCAAATGTGCTTGAAAAACAAGTCTGATCCATGGAGGCCCCACCTCATAATGTACAAGACCTAAAGGATCTACTAGTGATAGCTTGGCGCCAGATACCACACCATACCTTCAGTGGTCTAGTGGCGTTCGTGCCTTGACAGGTCAGGGCTGTTTTGGTGGCAAAAGGGAGACCTACTCAATATTCAGTGGATGGTCATAAAGTTATTACTGATTTGTATATATGCGTGTTTTGGGACAGTAATCCATATACTGGAGTCAGTGAGAAAAGTATGACATATAACATATGAATAGACTCCATGTTACTCTTAGGAAAGGTTTATTTTGAAGGTCTAAAGAACAATCTAGGCACAAAATATGTTTATCTTGCAATATTTAGGCTACGTTCACACTAGCGTTGTGTGCAGGCGGCAGAGAGGCGTTTGGGAAGCGTTTTTACCGCTTCCCAAACGCCTCTGCCAATTCTGCACATTACAGCACATGGTGCTGTTCTAACGGGAGCGTTTGCGTCGCGACAAAACGGACGCCTCTGGTCGAATCAGGAGGCGTTGAAGCCTCTTATTCTCGTCTATGGTGCCGCTCCGCAAATGCCCGGCTGGTGTTTGCGGTGCGGTAACACCACTCAAACTGCATTATAAGCATTTGTGGGGCAATATTAACGCTTGGCAAGCGCCTAGCAACCGCCGCTAAACCGCGCATGCGGCGTTTGCGGAGCGTTTGCCGAGCGTTAAAAAACACTCCGCAAACGCCGGACCAACGCTTGCCAAACGCTATAGGGGCGTTTGGCAAGCGTTGGTAAAACAGCCGAGTGTGAACGAGCCCTTATAGACACAAGAGACACTGCTGTTGCCATTCACACTGTTACAGACCCTTTTTCTTGGGGTCAATTCTGTGTGAACTACATTCCAATCAGCAGAGGATCCACTCACAGATCATCTGCTATTTAGAGCAGAGTTGGCGGATGACATATCCTTGTCTGCTCAGTTTGTAGAAAGCAGACAAGGATAGAACCCACTATGCTCTATGGGGTGCCAGGAATAAGCAGGCTCCACTGTCCATTTACACCTGACTACCCTCTGGGTAGTCTATTCTTCTAAACGGATCCCCTTCCATTTTTTTTTTTTTTTTTAGCAGACCAGATAGGACCTGGACATTGGCGGTTGTAAATGGACACAAGTCCGTTGACACTTGCCTATCCATAGAGATGCATGGACTGTCCAATCAGTTCTGCCAGGAAAATTGACAGGCAGACCTGATTGGATCTTCTGTCTGAAAAGGGCCTAAGAATGGACACATTCATATTGGCCCTGATTTGTTTTAATTAGAGCTCTCCAGGTGAAGGCAACAGGTACTAAACATTCAGCTGACATAAAAATAAAGTATTGTTGCAGATAAAAATAATTCCACAGATGTACTGCTTGCTGTAAATTGTATCTTGTAGCAAAGATTACATTGTGAAAAAAATACTGTGAATTACGAATGGTGTATGATGGGGGAGAGATTACTATGAAGAAGAGATATAACACCTCACCTCTGTTATCATATCTCACTCTCTATTCCGGAGGTCAGATTCACAATATAAATGTGTGACTTTTTC